TCAACAGCTCTAATCAAGCAAGTCCTGAATGATTAAAAAAATGTTAAAAAAATAAAAAAGATATAAAAAAATCTTCTAAAACATGAAAAACATATAAAGAATGTGATTAAAACAAAACACACTCAAATGAAGTTGAAAATTAATGGAAATATAGATTTTAACGAGTCGATTTGTGCCTAGGGGTATTTTTAAAATTTTTTGAAAAGATAGGAAAATATAAAAGTGAGTATCAATGGCCAAAATATTTTTAAATCTTTACCATAATATAAAAAATATTAAAGTAGTATTAAAAAAATCAACTTGATCTACTCTTTTTTTTTAAAGAAAATGATCTTTTAAAAAAAAACAAACAGATTTTTCTTTATCTTTTTTCTAAAGGAAAATAATATCTTTTTTCTTAAAAGAAATTAAGAAAAAATTATGTTATATATAATATGAGTAATGATATGAGACCCTCCCACCCATGTGTATAGGATCCCAAATGATCACCATTAAATTTAACACATCTCTAGAAAAGTCAAGTCCTACACCCACGTGATAACTTTTCTAGAGATCTAGATCTATGTCAAATTTAATGGTAATTGATCAAATAATAAATGACATATGATTTAAGTTGATATGTGTCAAATTTAATGGTGATCATTTGGGATCCTACACATATGGGTGTGGGAGGGTCTCATAAGATCATTACTCATAATATAAACCCTTACTTTTATCAATTAAGTAGTTAATGGTGATCAAATAATAAATGACATATTATTTTTTTACCAATTCGTGCTAGCAGTGGGATTCGAACCATAAAAAAACCATCATTAAAGCTTACCAATGCACTATTCAAATGAAATGGATATAAATGTGAAGCATTATTTTATTTAAAGTTTAAAATATAAGGTGACCACCAACGAAAACCAGAACTGGTCACTGGCCGGTTCTGATCTAACCGGCCGGTTAGCGGTTAGATTGGCCGGTTTTACGAACACTGGGTTTTACACAAAGCATAGTGTACATATTGGACCAAATGGCTTGTTTAGATATAATATTTCAGAGCGAGTTCCGATGGCTTCATTGGAGGCATCCCTCGAAATATTAAAGTTATGGTTGTTAACTCAGGAAGTTCAAGCCCTAGTAGAGAAAGTAGAAAACTCATACCCTTAGTTGATATAGTAAAAGAGCTCACGCAGAAGGTCGCTCATCTCCAGTGTGAATGGAATTTGAAGAGTAACGTTGGAGATCAAGCCAATGAAGGTGAAGGAGGTGACTTTCATCTCATTCATATTATAAACGATATTCATGATATCATTGTTCATATAAAAAACGATATTCTTGAGATCAAGTTTCCTATCCATGTCGAAAATCATGTGGAAAATCTTATCTCAAATAAAACGTTGGATTTGGAGGATTTTGAGGACAATGTCAATCACCATTTTGTGGAAAATCCTATCTCAGAGAAAGTATTGGATTTTGAAGACAATGTCAATCACAATTTTGAAGACAATGTCAATCACAAGCCCATAAATGATGAAAAGATGGTTGAGTTCAAGATATTTGCATTAATCCATCTTTCTTCATATTTTGATCTATTCTTCATATTTTTAAAGATCAAGTAGAAGAAGGCAAAAGAAATATGCGGATTTGATGTAGATCTCATCTTAGCCTTTTTTAAAACTCGATGACGAGTTTTCTCCAACCAGAGGAGATTGATGCAGTCATGAAATGACCTAATTTGGATTTTTTTACGTGCTTTAATTAAGGGTTATATTTTGGGATTTTTAAGAATTATGTGAGTTTAGATTATTAGGGTTATCTTGTATCTATTGGGTTAGTTAGTTTGGAATGTAAATAGAATAAGGTTAAATCTAAGGGGAGTTCTATCATTTTAATAATAGGTTGGTTTTGGATAAAAACATGGGAAGCTTTCGATGGGAAGGTTTGGATAACACGTAGGAAGCAAATTTAGGACGTAAAGTTAAAGACAGGAAAAATAGGGATGAGAGAAAATAAGGGGATAGATAAAATATGAGAGTGCCTGTAGGAGTTTTTCTTTTTGCTTATCTTCTTCTTCTTTTTTAGTCTATTTAAATGGAGGTTTCTCTTATTTGTAAATCAGAGTGAGTGAGTTAATAAAATTTGGTCTCGTGAAGAGATTTGGTCTCGTGAAGAGATTATTTTGGGGTGGATTCCCTTACTGACCTTGAAAGAGGATATATTCTCTCAACTTTCTTTCTTTTTATTGTTAATTTTTCTGATTTTATTCTCTCCCTGCATCACTGACCCACTATTTTTTTCTCTCTCTCTTTCTCTGCAACATCCATAAGCCCACTCCACTACTTTTTTTTCTCTCTCTTTGTCTACAACATCCATAAGCCCACTTTGAGGTGGATGGTGAGGGAGCATTTTTTTTCTCTCTCTTTCTCTACAATATCCATAAGCCCACTTCACTATTTTTTTTTTCTCTCCCTTTCTCTGCAATATCCATAAGCCCACTTTGAGGTGGATGGAGCTTGAAATCTACAACATCCATAAGTCCACTCCACTACTTTTTTTTTCTTTTCCTTTCTCTGCAACATCCATAAGCCCACTTTGACATGGATGACGCCTGAAATTTTTAAAAAGAGGGAGCAGGTCACTGATAGATCAGAGATAAATTAGGAGGGAATAGGTCACGGCCTCTGATATATCAGAGAGAGATTTCAGAGGCTATGACCTGTTCCCTTCTTTTTTTATTTCTCTCCCTTTCTATGCAACATCCAAAAGTTCCTTACTTTTTTTTCTCCCCCTTTCTCTGCAACATCCATAAGCCCATTTTGATGTGGATGGCGCCTGAAGTTTTAAAAATGAGGGAGCAGATCACTGCCTCTGATAGATCAGAAAGAAATTAGCTTATATATCAGTGACTTGTTCCCTCCTTTTAAAAATTTCAGACATCATCCACCTCAAAGTGAGCTTATGGACGTTGCAGAGAAAAATGACTTTATAACCAAGAGACAATATATGAGAGGCCGTTACCTGTTACCTCCTTTTAAAATTGTCAGGAGCCATCCACCTCAAAATGGGCTTATGGATATTGTAGAGATAGAGAGAGAGAAACGACTGTACAACCAAGGCTTATGGATGTTGTATAGATAGAGAGAGAGAGAAACGATTGTACAACCAAGAGACGCCGTACATGTTCCCTCCTTTTTAAAATTTCAGGCGCCATCCATCTCAAAGTGGGCTAATGGATGTTGCAGAGAGAGAAAAAAAAAATAGTGGGTAAGGAGAGAGAGAATGGAGTGAATTGAAGTAAGGTGTGGTGCTGGTTAGTTTTGTATTGAAGAAGATTACTTGCTCCGCTTGCGCAAATAATAGAGAGAAAGAGAGGTGAGAGACAGAGTTTTTAGAGAGAGAGAGAGAGGAGAGATACAAAGTTTTGAGAGAGATAGAGGTGGAATCATTTTACAAAATGTTTAGATCAATAATGTATGGTCAAAGAGGTCTAAAGGATAGGAAGATAGAAAATATAGAGACTTTATGCCGCAAGAAATAGTTTAAACTCTTGTGTCTCTTGATAAATAGAAGCCAAAAATAGGGGATAGGGAGATATTTTCCCTAAATTCTACAGCCTTAATTAGAACTCCATTCAAAATGAACATAATTATACTGATGGCCTCAACCTAAAAATTCAAAGCCAAGCTAGCATGACCCATCATATAGCTAACCATATCTATTAAATGCATATTACGCCTCTCAACTACACCATTTTGTTGAGGGGTATAAGGTAAGGTTGTTTAATATATTATTCCATGAACTTTGAAAAAAAAAATTGTTAAATAATTCTGAGGTGTTTTCTCCCCCCCTATCAAACCCTAGAATTTTTATATTTATTACCCAAGGTATTTGTAAAAGATACAAGAGGTAGCAATCCTTTGATTATAGGGATCTATTTAACAAAAACAGAAAATATACCATGCTTATCTAAATTAGAAAATGTACACCAATACAAACTTGTTATTTGAGATTTAAATTTCAATTCAAAAATTTTGGTAACACTCCCCCACAAGTTCGAGTGTAAACATTGAGAACGCCTAACTTGCCCATGAGAAACTGAAATTAATCTTTTCCAATAGCTTTTGTGAATATATTGGCTCATTAAAAACCAGTTAGGACAAGAGCATTACGAATTAAACCCAATTGAATTTCATGTCAAGTTCAATACATTTTGTTCGTCCATGAAAAACTGGATTGACAGCAATATGTAGGGACTGATTTACAAGAACAATAAAGCATCATGGGCCATTGTGAAGAATGCCAAGATAAAAGAAAGCGGTGTTTTGGCCAAGTAAGTTGTTGCTATTAACCAATGATTGGCATAAAGTTATAGTTCAAAACTAAGGTTTCTTACTCATAGAGCCAAATACCTTTTGGGGCGTGTAGATTACCAGTAACAATAATTGATACAAAGACACCGTATGAATTCAAGAGCGTTGCGACGTCAAAAACCAAAAAAATCTCATTCACTGCCTTGGTAGATCCCTTAGCACTCAACTGCTAAAATCATCCGATGTGGATCTAATATGAGAGTTACACTTTCTATTGACTCCTTATAAACGCGGTTACTGAAAGAGCAAAGATAAATGTTCAAATCCTTGGGAAACCACTTACCTCGCCCAAGCTTTTGTGCTGAGATGTGACGTCTGCAAGCCTTGCGGCAACCCTGTCTAACATTTTTGGATTTTTTCCAAAATAATTATTGCTTTGTACATACATAAAGGCTTTTTGAATAAATCACACTTTCCATGGCTCAGTATTGGTAAGAAGGGCATGGAATGTTCTGAAGTTCCAAATCCCTTGCAGAGAAGTGGGTCTCTAAAGGGGCTCTCTGTTGAAGGATATCAGAGAAGTGTCCATCCCCAGTAGATTAACAACAGCACCTCACGGTAGTTACAATGTTTTCCATGACTTGCAAGTCCTTAAAGAATAACACTAATTTCTAATAAAATAAATAAAATTTAAGAATGCAATCATTTAACTAGAGAGCATCTTATCCATTATAAATAAGTTCAACTTTGGACCTCCTTCCTGGTAGAACGATTACATATCCTTTTTACATTTTGCACAACATAGCAGAAAATAGCAGAAAGAGAACAAATACGCAGGAAACCCAATTTCTGGCTCCATGGCGATTTGAAGACCATTACTCTGAATCCTCCTTTTGCTGGCTGGTTCCTGCAGTGAGATCCTTAAGCTTTTCTTTCAGCTCCCCAGACTGCATATGACACACAAAATAAAAGAGGATATACTGTTACAATTTCACTTAATTCATTGTCAACCAATACAACACTAACTGACCTTATGCATGTTAAGGATTATGTCAGACCCTCCAATGAACTCGCCCTTGATAAATAGTTGTGGGAAGGTGGGCCAGTTGCTGCACAAAAGCAAAAACACAATCAGGAAAAACTGTTTGGCCCAAGCCACATTTGCTGATGCAACATTTATTGTCAATCAAACAGTTTCTGAGTTCCACTTAAATAAGAGCAGCCCTTATAAGATCAGTCGCTAATCGTGTGTATCCGGATCATCCTCTTTGGCTGTACATTCTATAAATGTGCAGGCTTGCATGTGTTTGACTTTACAAAGAATCTCTAAGCTAGAAATTCTTATGTGATTGAACAAGAGAGAAGTACACATATCTATGTGTGCACGCATGTGTTGGAATGTGGGGATCAACCTAGGAGTGAAGTTTAAATGCATCTGTCTGTCCTTGATATGAAATGAAGTAAGGGCGCAATGCAAGAGATACATGGAAAGATAACGGCCCTTGTTCACCTATCCAATGGTAGAAAAATGCTCTACAAATAATAAAGCATTGTATTTGTAAATAGGTAAAAAGATTCAAATTGGAGATTGTGAATTATGGAATCAGCCTTCCTATTTCTCACGATATGACAAGGAAATTTTGTAATGGTAGCTTCATCAAGCTTCCCATAGAAGTCGGACATTAAAATGCAGCCATCTCTTTTTGAGGTAGCAAATGCACATATCCGTTTCATTAACATTCACATAAAGTACACTCATAGGTACAAAGACACAGGGGAAGTACACTTCAATCCATATGACCATAGAAAATATATGCTCATAAGCCAATTAAGGGACAGACAGCAATGGAGAGCGGGGACAGGCATTGACATGCTCCAGTGGGTCATGCCCTTTCTCCAGCACTGCCCATCCATCATTGGATGTTGGGGATACATGTGAACACTGATTTCTGTAATTATATTGACAGCCCCAAAACTAATTTTGTTTGATCGTATTTAGCATGGCATACTCTCTGCATTGCTTGTACGCAACCAATTTTGCCCTTCCTAAACATTCACAAACTTGCAATAGAATTAGCAAATCCTTTTTCCCCAGTTCAAATCGGGGTGTTGCCTGATCAACAAAGGACTCTAAATCTCTTATCCAGCTGATATGACCCGCCTTATTTTTGCCCAGCATAAGCAAAGGGCTGTCAATACTTTATCTTCAAAACCCTGAGGTTCCATGAAATGAAGACTATAAATTGAAATTTCAATTTTTTCTTTCTTCAAAAATCTGCATATCGCCTTCACCAATCTATAAAAATCTCTTTAGAAAGAAGATCTTTGGTCTCATGGTAGCCTGCTTCAGTCCCCTTACGAAACTTTCGTTATTGTGTTAGCCATATACTTCACATGTTTCTAACGATTCACATGGCATCATCATCAAATGATACAAGTCTTGGATAAGAATCTACAACGCACTAGAACGCCCTTGCTGATGATCCTTTACTCCGACAGCATCTAGGGTTCCTCAAACAATGTGATATCTCACAACATGTAAATCCTTAACCCTTCCTCCTCTTACTAATACTACAGAATGTTCTAAAAAATCAATAATTACTTGGCTGCACTAATGCATATTGAAAGAATGGCACTTGTAAAGTTTATGGGCTTTCCCTGGTACTATCCAGCAACTGTGAGCCTACTACTTCCAACCACCCAACCACAACCCCAAGCCCCCACAAAGAACAAAAAAAAAAAAGAAAGAAAAACCATTCGGGCCTACTTCTATGGCAAACCTCCTCCTGGCTATGCTGTGGACAGTGGTTGGAGTGCCCAAGGAGGATCTAGAAGGGAGTCTCCCATCCAAACTTTGAAGGAGAGAATTATGTCAACAGTGTTAGAACTGACTTACCAATAATTCATCATCTCAAGGTCCACCCCATTTCAATCACAAGATTTTTGCACTGGATTGTGCCCAAGTTAGGCAATCAAATGGAACTTGATGAGTGCTTTCTAATTGATTCAGGAAGGGCAGAATCAGGAGAGTCTCTAGAAACAGCACAGGACCATGCTTTTATTGTTTACAAGGCCCATTGATACGATCACTTCGACTGTCACTGAGGCGCAGGCCCTCTTTGCAAGGCTCGAACTATTTAATCCAGCTTGGAGCACCTTGTTAGTGATAGAGGGATCGATTAGGCTTCTAAGGTCTCTACAAGGTCATGGTGGTTGGAGCAAGTGTTTAATGAGATTTTCAAGATCTGAGAATCCCTTCAGGTGTCTTTCCAACAAATGACATGAGGCGAACACCGAACACCTTGCCAAACAAGGGGCTTCCCAAACAAATTTTATAACTTTTCTCCTCAGGAATAGAGGGAATTTCTGTCTTTTGGTTTTACTCTTTTGAATCCACTTGTGAATCCACTAAATTTTACTAACTTTACAAGAGACCCACTTGTGAATCCACCACTATTAATATAGTGTTACCTTATTCAAAAAGAAAAAGGAACTTGCATTATATTCCCAACTTGTCTCTCATCATAGTAAATCTGTCCTAGTACAATATGCCTCAGTTAAAACTTTGCTAGACGATCCTGACTTAAAATTTTTGCTCTTCTTTATTTGTGGTTCAATATCCACATGTTACAATTGAAAGCATTCTATGCATTCAAGGTAAAAATGGTTAGAAGCAGGGTAATTAGGTTCTTCCAGTCACTGAACTTCATCATTTGAAGAATTTCTTCTGTTTGGCAGTTTTTCTCCTAGACGAGATGATATTTGTGGTATTGAGAAATGGGGACAATGCTTCTAGAAGGAGACCGATGCTTGTCGTCGCCTCCTCAATGGCCATATCCTCTTCTCTTTCCTGTCAGAAAAGGCAGCCAAAGCACCCTCCAAACCCAACCCCCTCCTTTCAAAGGAGCGTCCTTGTCTCTCACAGCTTGGCCACCTCTTTTGGGCACCTACAAACCTCAGAAAATTTGGCTTAGGGTCACCAACATTTCCCTACATGTATTCCCACCACTTTGAAGCTCATTCAAGAGAGATAAGGGAGATTCCTCTACGTAGAAATCCTACGAATTCCTTCCTCTTGGTTCCATTCTCCTGCTTGTTGAAGTTCTAGATTCCCACTTGATGGAGATTTGAGCACAAGTAGCCATGAGTATCTTCTATGGGAGCGACAAATTCCTTCTAATTTTTCCTTATATTTGCAGGACGAAAACCCTAAGAGGGCTTCCAAGAAGAACAAGAAGAGCAAGAAAGAGTTTGGGTGTTCTTTTTAGTTTTTAAGGATATTTCAAATGTTATTTATTTATTTATTTCATTGCTGGACCAGTTAGGGATTTTTTAGATATTTTAATTAAAGTTAGGGAGTTTAGTTTCAAGTTATATTTAAGTTAGGACCTTTTGGTCAAAAGTTAAATTGTATAGACAAATATTGTCCAAAACAATAATTTTTCAATATAAATAAGGGCATGGATGGGCTGAAAAGTCATTCATATATTCTTCTTTAAGAAAAGAAAGACTTTGTCTTGTAAATGGGGAGGCTTTGGTGATCCGGCGCAGCATGGTGACACCCAAGGTAGTAGATGAGGCAGATTGGTTGCACACTAACATTTTCCACACTCGATGCATAGCCCCTACAGAAAGGCTTGCAATCTTCATTGATGGGGGCAGCTATGAAAATATTGTTTCTCAGGAGATGGCCGACAAGCTGAAGTTGAAGACAGAGAACCATCAAAAACCATACAAGATAGCTTGGTTCAAATACGGAAATCAGGTAACGGTTTCTAAACATTGTCTAGTTTCTTTTTCTATTGGAAAGCATTATAAAGATGAGGTGTGGGTGATGTTGTGCCTATGGATGCATGTCATTTATTATTGGGTAGACCAAGGCAGTATGTTAGACATACCATACACGATGGATTTAAAAACACTTATTCCTTTGTCAAAGATGGAATAAAAGTGGTTTTAGGTCCATCTAAGAAGGAAAGTGCATCCAAATCAGATGAAGGGTGTACTAGCCTTCTTCCTTTGGCTGAGTGTATGGAGGGATTGGAGGAGTCGAGGATGGTGTTTGCAGTGATCCAAGTGGAGGAGCAGCCTATTAGTTCAATTCCACCACAATTAGAGCCCTTAATGAGGGACTATAGCGATGTCACCCCAAATGAGCTAAAAGCGGGTTTACCACCCATGAGGGACATCCAATATCACATAGACCTCGTTCCTGGGTCTAGCCTACCAAACAAGGCTGCATATAAAATCAGCCCAAAGGAGTGCATGAACAAGTATGTGCTAGTCTAGAAGCCAATACAGTTAAATACAAGGAAGCAGCAGACAAGCATCATCATTTCAAGGAGTTTAATGTGAGAGACTAGGTAATGGTGTATCTCAAGAAGGAACAACATCCAGTGGGAAAATACAGCAAGCTGAATGATCGGAAGGCAGGACCATTCAAGATTTTGAAGAAGATGGGCAATAATGCTTACAAGGTCGCCTTCACACATGGAGACTTCAGACATTTTCAACATTGCTGATCTATCGGAGTATCATGGTATGGAGGTACATGAAGATGAAGATGTGAACTCGAGGGCAAGTTCTCCTCAATCCAAGGAGAAACATGGAGATCAGAGCACAAGTAGCCACGAGTATCTTCTATGGGAGCGACAGATTCCTCCTAATTTTTGCTCATATTTGGAGGATGAAAACCCTAGGAGGGCTTCCAAGAAGAGCAAGAAATAGTTTTGGTGTTTTTTTAGTTTTTAAAGCTATTTCAGATGTTTTTTATTTATTTATATCATTGTTAGACAAGTTAGGGATATTTTAAATATTTTAATTAAAGCTAAGGAGTTTAGTTTCATTTTATATTTAAGTTAGGACTTTTTTGGTCAAAAGTTAAATTGTATGAACAAATATTGTCCAAAACAATAACTTTTCAATATAAATAAGGGCATGGATGGGTTGGAGAGTCATTCATGTATTCCTCTTTAAGAAAAGAAATACTTTGTCTTGTAAAAGAAGCCTAAGGCTTAAGCCCTAGGTAGGAGAAAACCTAGGGTTTCTCCAAAATTGTGTGGTTCTTGCAGATTTTTCTAGGTTTCCTACATCACCACTCCATCCCCTCCTGGCTCTGGCTGAGCATTGAAGGAACTGACTATCGAGTTCTCACTTCCTGGTCCTTTGCCTCCCATGCCTCTGCTCACCATGTTCAGGGAGAAGACCACTCAGCTCCTCCTGCAAACCAGAATGCATTTCTTTATGGGGAATTAAAAGAAGTCTATATGCTACCTTCATTTAGATTTCAGGCCCCTGGATATAAGGGTAAAGCTTGTATACTGAGAAAGGCCATCCATGGACTAAAGCAATCTCTTCAAGATTCGTTGAGATATTTAGTGTGGTTGTTCAGAGAATCAGGTAAACAAAGAGCCATGTTGACCATACCTTATTTACCATACCTTATTTATCAAAGATACTAGGACCAGCACTATTGCCCTGATTGGATGATATAGTTGGCACAAGTAATTGTCCTCAAGAAATTCAGCGACTTAAGAATTTTCTAGCAATAAGAGTTGAAATCAAAGTCCTAGGTCCATTGAAGTATTGTCTTGGAATAGAAGTGGCCAGGTCTAAGAGGGGAATCTTTATCTCTCGAAGGAAGTATGCATTAGACCTTCTTAAAGAGACAAGAAAGCATGGGGCTAAACAATTGACACTCGTATCAAAACATAATCATAAAATTGACAACTAAAAGGGTGAAGCTCTTAAAAATGTTGGTATATTTCAAACATTGGTAGGTAGACTGATGTATCTTTCACTTACAAGCCTACAAATTTGCATATACTGCGAAAGGGATTAGTCTATTATGTATGTTCCACAAACTATCCATCTTTTGTTGTCAAGGTTCTCAAGTTCTCTTGCACAATGTAGAGGATTGTTTGCGAATCATGGACACTTACAAGGTGAAGCTTATACAGGTACAGATTGGGCTAGTTCTATTATGGATTGGAGATCAACATCAGGCTGGGGCACTTTCTTAGGAAGTAACCATGTAACTAGAAGGAGTAAAAGCAGTGATTTGTAACCAGAATCCAGATCAAGTGCGAAAGCTCAGTACAGATCCATGGCTCACAGTGCATGTGAACTACTCTAACTAACAATTCTTTTACAAGAAATTGGCGTTACTGTAAAGGGGCCAATGTCCTTGTGCTATGCCAACAAGGTAGCTACAAGTATTACCTAAAAAATACAAAACAAGGCAGCTATAGGTATTGTTTGTAAACCAGTCCAGTATGATAGAGCTAAGCATATAGAAATGGATCAACATTTTATTCGTGAAAGAGTTACTACTAAAAAAATTTGTCTTCCATATGCTAAAACTGAAAACCAGCTAGTAAATATTCTTACCAAAGCCATTGGGAGACCTCGAGACCTCAACTATAAGTGATCTTAAGCAAGTTGGGCAAAACCGATATCTATGCACCAGCTTGAGGGAGAGTATTGTGAATACCAAAGGTTATATTTATTTTTCTTGTATTTTAGTTCTTAGGACTTATTTGTCTTTTCCTCCTTCATAAGGGCAATGTTGTACTTTAATATTTTATTATTGTTGTAAAAATGTTTAAGTGGGGTGTGGGGGTTAGTTTTGACAGCACCGTGCCTCCTCTCTCATTATCTCTTCAACGTGACTCACGATCTCTCTCACCCGTCGATCTCTAAATCTCTCTCTTTCCAAAACTTCAATCTTTCTTAGTCATCTTCATCACTTATACACTTGGTTGCTGATTTTAATTCATATAATGAACCATTTTCAAATTTAGCTTGGCAAAAACAAACTACACACAACCATCTCAAGACTGCAATTAAATGGCAACATAAACTGGGTTAGTCTACAAATTCTGTAAATTGCCGGAACATGTGCCTTCCAAGAATTTGGAGTGTCTTATTTACTGATGCAAATATAAATAATGCATGCAGCCTGCTTCAAGATGCGGCTTCCAAAAGGTCTTATCTAAATCATTGTCCTACTTTGCATGTTCATTATCTTAACTTCCTAAAGGCTATATCTAAATATTAGCCCTTTTTAGGAATGACCTTTATCCAAAAAAGAAAAATCTTACTCATATTCCGGAGTGTCCTTTCCCTGAACTATCTGATGTTTTCTAACCATGTCAATGATTAAAGCTCCTTGGGAGAGGCAATTGCACCCAGCCATTCATACCCAAGATCATTTGAGACAATGGAAAATATACAGATCTTCATCCATTTATCAACAAGTATTATCTGGTGATGGGTCTACTTCAAAACTCAAATATCCAAGATGTTGCACCACATGCCGTAGAGATGTATAAGTCACTCCAAGGCACTCATAGGATATGAATGAAGGGTTTTACATGTCCTTGTGCTGAAAATCGAGGCAATATTTAATAAACTTATAGATAACAAGGTGAATGAAAATTCTTAACAAGTCACCTTCAAAGAACAGCTTCTATTTAATTATTCGAGCCCAATTAATTACATTCAACAAGTCACCTTCAAAGAACAGCTTCTATTTAATGATTTGAGCCCCTCCAGTAGTGCTTCAGCTTCAGCTAAAGTAGATTAGATTAGGCAACTCCTATAGGCCCTGAGTAAGATAGGAATAGAATGCCCGAGCTGTCTGTACATATGCCCCCAATGCCCACTGGTCCCGGATTTTTCACAGAACAGCCATAAAAAAATTGAGTTTGATGGTGCCCACTTTCAGAGCCAACCAATGATTCGAAAGAGGCATTGACACTGGGATGGTTAGCAAGATCGCAGTCCAATTTAGTGCAAAGTCCAATTTAGTGCAAAATATTTAACATAGCCATAACCTGTTCTTTATGGCCCCACATGTGACTCCTGACTCTCAAAGATCCTCTTGTGTCCATCCAATCATCCAACCACACCCAGTGGCCTTCAAGGCTCTCAAATGAGGGGCATACCACGACATCTTTTGTCCAATATTAGAGCAACAAGTGTTGGGAATTGGCTACCCAATGATCATTTGCCCAACCATTTGTCCTTCCACATTCTGATTAGATTCCCAGATCTAACCAATAATCTCACACAAGCACAAAAAAACCAATAAGAGGAGAGATACCTCTCCATACCCCTGACGAGTGAGCATTTCAAGATCCCTTCAGCAACCTCCCAGAGTCATTTAGCCCATATCTCTGATGAGACCTTCTTGTTATTCATTTCTTAAATTTTTCATTTCAACAAGCCAGGTTTATCTAATTTTGAGCTTGATAATTCCCTTTTCCATTTTCAGTAAAACCAAACCAGGTGATTACCACATCATGAGGGATGAATCCACTACCCAACAGACAGAAAAGGTGAAAATAGAGGAACATATCTCTTCCCCTTCTGTATTGGAATTGACATAAGACGGCAGGCACAACTTTGGAAGCAAGCGGCACTTCACTACAGGGAAATCACATGCAATATAGTCGTAGGCGACTTAACCCTTGAAAAAGGATACCATGGTTTGACCATTTTTTTCATGTAAAGCAATGCAAATGGCAGGACAAGCTTTATCGTTGAAAAAGTAAAAACTATTATATGCACTTGCCATACAAAAATTTGACTTCTATCATGTTAGATGTTATAAATTTTAAACCAGGTTGGTCAAAACCAGCGATAGTAAGGAACAATTATTAAACCTATTAGAGAGACAGTATGAACATTTGAATTCCAAGTTGTGTTCTGGAATTATTTCTGAGACAAGCTTAATAGAGATGTTTTTATCAATATCTCATACTCATGACCACACAGATGTGCATTTGTTCTAAACTTTCCAAAAAACAAAATAGTTATGAGGAAAAAGGATAAAAGATATCAAAAGCGAAGAAAAGATTGTTAGTTTCTCGGAAATCATGACTACATTGCAAGTACGACATTAAACTTGAATCTAACTCACCTGAAATCTTTGACTCCATTTTTCGGTTCTGAATTTTCTAGAATGTTTCTGGCACTAAGAGGAATATCTGTACCATTCCATTGACAAAAGAAATTATTAGCAATGATGGCATTCATTGCTTTCACAGAAATTATCTCAATGAAACTAACAATCAATAAATCCGGAGCTTTTTGAAAAGCCACCATGGATTTAATGAATCACAGTTATTCTGGAGATAAGCCTGAGGGCTTCTCACCAAACATAAATGGGTTTGAGTATCCTTTTTTTTTTTTAGTCTGTTAATGTTTAAAACTGGGTTTGAATATCTAATTAAAGAAATAAAAAGAAAAAGAAACAACATTCAACTCTGCAAAGAGACAAGAATAGGCCACAGTTTAAAAGGTAATTTTGTTGTGTGAAAGAGAAGATAATTGTATTTGTTGCACTAACATTTTACATCCAGCATTGTGCTACCCTGTGCATTTCGAAAATACTAGATTGAGTTACTTGAGTGAAGGGAAAGTGATATGATTTGACAGAGTCACAGGCTCATATGCTAGATGAGCATAGTACAAAGGAAATTAAGTTTTCATGGTTACCTAGCAACCATTTTCTCCAGGATTTCCAGGATGTCATTTCCCTCACTCCCTCACGCTCTCCCTCCCTCCTGCTTCTACCAGATTGAAGCTCAGATCTGAAACAATATCTGAGTGACATTATATACAGTCACTTTGAATTGTATTGTCTATTGAAAGATTGAGAGAGGCCCTGTCACTCTAAGTTCTGGTTGAAAAAAGCCTTCAAGCTGGCCTATCAATTTCAGCAAAAAATTGCCGTGTGAAACAAAATCCTCACATCTGGCATGAAAATTCCTGGCGAAAATTTGTGAGATCTGGATTCTTATATAAATCCGCAAAGTTTAGTCAATGTTTGCAATCTACAGCTCATGGATTTAATGAATCGCAGTTATTTCGGAGACAAGCCTGAGGGGTTCTCGCCAAACATAAATGGGTTGGAATATCCTTCTTTTTTTTTTAATCTGTTAATGTTTAAAAATGGGTTTGAATATCTAATTAAAAAAATAAAAAGAAAAAGAAACAACATTCGACTTTGCATAGAGATAAGAATAGGCCACAGTTTAAAAGGTGATTTTGTTGTGTGAAAGAGAAGATAATTGTACTTGTTGCGCTAACTTTTTACATCCAGCATTGTGCTAGTCTATGCATTTCGAAAATACTAGATTGCGTTACTTGAGAGAAGGGGCTGTATATGATCTGACACAGAGTCACAGGCTCATACGTAGAGGAGCATAGGATGCTGCTGCAAATAGATCTATCTATCAAAGTACAAAGGAAATTAAGTTTTCATGGTTACCTAGCAACCATTTTCTCCAGGATTTCCAAGAAGTCATCTCCCTCACTCCCTCTTGCTTCTACCATATTGAAGCTCAGATTTGAAACAATATCATCATCATCATCATAGCCTTTTTTCAATTAATTGGAATCGGCTACACAATTCCTGGTCCGTCATTCTGCTCTATTTAAGGTTACAGGAATCATGTTCTACTACTTATGTTGAGAAAATACCATGGGATCATTTATGATTTGCATTGTGATCATGATATTCAGGAACTAAAACTGAATGATCTTTGACCTGCTTTTACTAGATCTCTCTTACTTGAGCTCATTGCAAGTATGAACGTCGTACTGACTTTTCTTCACAGAATAACAATATTCATGGCCCACTGGATCTAGTCAGAGTTACATCATCTAGTTTCCTCTATATGGCTTCTATGGATCTTTCAGAGTCTTACAATAACTTAATCTCTTCTTTTATCGTCAGATATATTATTGAAAGAATCTAGTACAGCCATGTAACCCACGGAAACAACATGTAGATCAGCACATCAGAACAAAGAGAGAAGAGAGAGAGGGCAAAGAGGATAGATAGGGAGGGAGGGAGGGAGGGACAAGAGAAGGGAGGGAAAAGAGGGAGGGAAACGAGAAGGGAGAGATAAAGAGAAAGAGAGTGGTGGACAGAGAGAGTGACAATAAAAAACATAAAAACTACAAAGACAATGAGGAGGGATGTCAAGGCAACAACACCCGAAAACTACAAAACCATATGAACAATTAAAATATTCATGTCCACCCTTCATTGGCAAGTCCATCCACCTCCTCATTAAAACCATAAAGAACATATTCAAAAGAAACCTCCTTGCCACTAAACAGGTTGAAAAATCTCCATTAAAATACTCAACAATAACCGAGGAGGAGGTCTGTCCTTCCAGGCCAATCAAATAAGGATTAAGACAATCCCCATCCACAACTATAGGTAAACCCAACTTCATTAAATATGATTCCTTCCAATAAAGCTCTCCCGTCCACCTCTTAAGAATGCCTCCCATTCCATAGGAGGTTCCGAATTTCCCCTGGATGCCCCATCAAACTTCAACCTATTCATCTTGTTTTCCATAGACCCCCCATTTTCACCAAATTTTGAGCTTCTTGATCAGGGGTGTGACGAGCTTCTTTTGCCACAGTTCAGAGTCACATTGAAGTCCAAAAATCCTATTTTTTGTGGGAAGGTCTCTTTCAGCATGTCTTGGAAATTAGTTGCACCATGTTCCAAGACTGTTTGTGGGGTCTGCTTCCGGTGTTTAACATATTGATTAGCAGATGAGTTTTGTATCGAACATTGGATGCCTGTTTAGTTTGTGACCTATTCAAATGGTGGGCAACAAGAAAACCAGCTCCCCATGGAATCTCTACCTTTTGGGCTTGGTGGTTGTAGAAGGGCGGTGATGGCCATCCATGTACTGCGTATTGTTACCTGGAAGATATAGCCACATTTTTCCAGTACAAGGCCATATGGCTCGCGTGAACTGGTTTGATGTTAGGGTGTTTAGGAAGGGTGTGGTTTGTATAAGGTTGCAACCTTAACCAATCAAATTAAGATTTACCTCCAAACTTAGTCGTGAGATGCAATTTTTATGTCAAAAAATTCTTAGGATGGGGCCAGAATATCTTTTTATCTCTGATTATAAAATTTTAAACATAAAAAATGGTTCAAATCAAGCAGATCCATAAATGTACGAAAATATTGAAAATGGAAGGTCCAGATATTGTATTGCAAGATGTACTATTTTTAAGACTTGAAATATTATTTTTTCTCCATATCCATAAATCTCGGTCCACATCTATAAATATCAATGTTGAGATGATCAATTAGATATTTTTCCAATATCAAAACAACCTTTTTCAAAGGATTTTAGAGGTGTACCTTAATTCTACATTTTAAGGTGTTAACCTTATATAAACTTTTTTCATTTAGTAATTTAATTTGGTGAGTGTTGGAACAAAAAAAGACTATCAAGATACTATATCGACTTGGTGAGAGATGTATGATGGAGCACTATGTAGTTCGGAACAATTAGTGGAGAGATGAGTGAGTTTTCAATGACAATAGGTCTACATCAGGGGTCAATGTTGAGCCCATACCTCTGTCTTAGTTATGGACGACTAGTTATAGGTACCTACAAGACAAGGTACTGTCGTGTATGTTGTTTGCAGACAACTTAGTTTTGATTGATGAGACCCAAAGTGGAATCAACACAAAGTTAGAACTTTGGAGGGATGCTCTAGAATCCAAAGGTTTTAAAATTAGCAGGACTAAGATAGAGCATATGGAATGCAAGGTTAGTAATAATAGGAGTAGAGACAAGGAAGTAGTTAAGATTGACATCCAAAAAATACAAAAAAGAGTGGACTTTCGATATCTTGGGTCGACAATCCAGGAAAATGGAGAGATAGAGGAAGATGTTGCGTACATAATTTGAGCTAGATGGGCAAAGCGGAGATATGCAACAGGAGTTTTATGTGATTTTCACATACAAATGAAGCTGAAGGGGAAGTTCTATGGGGACAACTTTGAGACTAGTTGTGCTTTGTGGGGGGGAATACTGGGCGGTCAAGAAACAACACACCCATAGGATGAGTGTAGTTGAGATGAGGATGTTGAGATGGATGAGTGGCAAGATAAGAACGGATACAATTTGAAATGAATACATTCGGAAGAACTTAGGTATGGCTCCAATAGGCGATAAAATAAGAGAAAGTAGACTTAGGGGGGCTAACCATGTGCAGCGAAGACCCAGTACGGCACTTGTTAAGAGGTGTGAGTTGGATCAAATGGAAGTTTTAAATACATAAGGGGTAGGCCCAAAAGAACATAGTTGAAAGTAGTGAAAAACGATATGGGGACTTATGGCCTTACTGAGGGTATGGGCCAAGATAGAGCCAAATGGCAGACCAGAATTTATGTAGCCGACCCTAAATAGTTGGAAAAACTCTCTGATGCTGATAATGAATCATGTTGATCCAAAATACACCCAAATATAGGTCATATAAGGATGTAATAGAGAGTTTGGGCTTCGAACGAAATAAAACATAAGTACAAGCATATTTCAAAAGTGGTGAATTTTGATGGAATATTTTTATTTCCGAGACAAAAGGAACTTGGGAGCGATAACTTTGGATGTTAGCTCGATGACAATTTTCATATTGAAATCTAATGAAAAATATATTAGGGGTCTTCTTTGGAGATTCCAAAAAGGGATCACGAAGAAAACCTAGGGATTTCGAGCACGCACGAGCTTATAGTGCCCTAGAGTTTAGATTTTGGAAGCAAACTTTCAACAAGCATACCAGCATTTGTTGTAAACTAAATAATTTTTATAAAATAAGGCAGAGTGCAAAAGAGAGCAGCATTGAGCTAAAGCTGCTCTCACGTTTTCCTTTACACGAAATTTCTCAAAACCTTGTAAAGAACCAACTGTTTCCCTCAAGAGGTAGTGGAAGAAATTGTTAAGCATAAATATGGTGAGTTTTTCAGGTTACTTTCAATATGAAACAGAAAAGCTAAAATCTACATGAATCCAAGGTAGCTTGTGAACGCAATATATGCTACTGTATGTTGTGCCAATTTCCTACCAGTACTCGTGCAAGCATGGATGCCAATACATATATGTATGTGCACGTGGATATAATGTGCATCCATATCTTGTATGGATGCACATAACAATTCACAATTTAGATTAACAATGGATTTGTCATGCATTCTGAACTTTCGGCACTCGGGAATTTGAATATGTTCACGATGATAACACATTATTTAAACCTACCACACTTTTCAGTTCAAAGATCATCAGGAAGCAAGAAAGGAACCAAGTTATCAAGGAAATGTGTTGGTACCATATAAATGAAAACTAAACACTCTTCCAATTTGATAGGCTATCGTTATTGATCAACAAAACTGGTAATGTTCCATCTTAGGACAAGTAGGAGAAATTGAAAGTACTCAGTTTTTAGCATTAAAGGAAACCAAAAAATAATTATTTATGATGAGAGAAAATAGCAGACATGGAAACTGCAAACTGAAATTCAATCATATGACAACTTAATTTCCAAGGTATTGAAACCTAAGTTACTAACTGAAATAATGCTACAACAAATTCATGCACAGATGAGTAGAAGTGAAAATAAGGCACCAGATAGAAGTGCAAATACAGATACAGTAATATTTAGAAAATTGTATTTTTGTTTCTTTATAATTTAGACAACTAGGAATAGGCTCAAAGCTAGGCAATCAGGGTGGTGGGTTGAGTTCCATTCCTATTAAGGGACCCCTACCCCACTGGAGTACCCAAAAAAAAATGATATAGACAACTGTGGTATCGCGTTTACATAGTTCAGGAAATTTTTGAACCTAACAAAATCAAAGTACAAGTAGATAATTTTAGAAGGACGCTTCAAAATCTAAAGGTTTTAAACTTAGTCAGACTAAGAAAAAATATATAGAATGCAAGGCTAAAATAATAAGAGCATAAATGAAGAATTAGTTAAGATCGATCGTCAAGAAGTATTATTTCAATATTTTGGGTTGATAATCCATGAGAAATGACTGATTGAGGAAGATATTGCTCATAGAATAAGAGCTAGGTGGATGAAGTAAAGATGTACTTCTAAAGTCTTCTGTGACTGTTGTCTATCAATAAATCTAAAGGGGAAGATCTATAGGACATCTGTAAGACTAGTCATCTTTTAAGGGAATAAATGTTGGGCTATTAATAAGCAACATATTCAAAAAATGAGTGTAGCTGAGATGATGATGTTGAGATGGATGAGTGGCAAGAC